TCCTACAGGAACAACCTTTGTGAACTTTCCAGGTCAACAATGAACATTCATTAGTTGAGGCAGTTGCTACTCTGGAGAGGATAAGAAAGTAGCAGAGAGTGGAAATGAGGAGGTCTGGTTCTCATCCACCCCAGCTCAGTCACTCGAGAAGTATTTCTTGATTGCGCACTCTGAGCCAGGGAGGTCAGGCTCTGGGGTCAACTCAGTGAACAAAACAAATGCAACCCCTTTCCTCGTGGAGTTTACTAAATTCCCTGCATACTCTTCAGTGCTGTGCGTGTGGCAGACATCACTAATCAATCACAGCACTGTCCCACTGAGTCTTCTGACTCCTCAAGTCCATGTTTCTGGCATCCTCTAATAAATGATTAGAACAGACACAGGGACAAAAACCCACTTGCCCTTTCATTTTGGGGATTCAATGAATGGTAGCTATGAGTATCTATGTTACCTAATCCTACCTCCTCTAATATAAATAAGGAACTTTTGGCCCTAGGTGAGGAGTGGCTTGCTTTAGTCACGCAGCATTGGGTCTAAGCCCAAAGTCAAGGTATTTTTACTCACTTTCCCTTATATTCCTCACTGCTTTATACTTCAGCAATTGGATAGCAGAATTTGGGCTTCCGCAAATTTCCTCATTATGGATTCCTGAGTGTGTGTGTGTGTGTGTGTGTGTGTGTGTGTGTGCATGTGTGCACACGTGTGCATGTCTGTCTCAGGAACAAATAAATGAATTTTATTTTTTTCAGACAGTATCTTGCTCTGTTGCCCAGGCTAGAGTGCAATGGCACAATCTCGGCCCACTGCAGCCTCTGCCTCCCAGATTCAAGCAATTCTCCTGCCTTAGCCTCTCAAGTAGCTGGCACTACAGGTACCCACCACTGTGCCTGGCTAAGTTTTGTATTTTTTATAGAGATGGGGTTTTGCCATATTGCCCAGGCTGGTCTCAAACTCCTGAGCTCAGGTGATCTGTCTGCCTTGGCCTCTCAAAGTGCTGGGACTACAGGCCTGAGCCACCACAACCGGCCTCCTTTGTTGATTTTAAAGGCTTGAAGATTAACATTGGGTTCAGCCTCAGACACCCACAGGTTTACAGTTCTTTTAACTGCTGCTCAGCTCCACCGAAACAAAAACGACTCTATTTTCAGAAGTGTTTTTTCCCTTCTCTCCTTCCACTTTCCCTCCCTCCTTTCTTCCTTTTTTCTTCTTTCTCTCCCTTCCTCACTCTCTCTCCCTACCGCCTTCCTTTCTTCCTCTCTCCCTCCTTTCCTGCCTCTCCCCCTTGTTCCTTTCTTCTTTCCCCCTTTTCTTTCTTTCTTTTTTTTTTTTTTTTCCCTGAGATGAAGTTTTGCTCTTGTTGCCCAGGCTGGAGTGCAATGGCACAGTGTTGCTCCTGAGTCGCTGGGATTACAGGTATGTGGCACGACGCCTGGCTAATTTTGTAGTCTTTTTTTTTTTTTTTTTTTTTTTTTTTTGAGACGGAGTTTCGCTCTTGTTACCCAGGCTGGAGTGCAATGGCGCGATCTCGGCTCACCGCAACCTCCGCCTCCTGGGTTCAGGCAATTCTCCTGCCTCAGCCTCCGGAGTAGCTGGGATTACAGGCACGCACCACCATGCCCAGCTAATTTTTTGCACCTTTAGTAGAGACGGGGTTTCACCATGTTGACCAGGATGGTCTCGATCTCTTGACCTCGTGATCCACCCGCCTCGGCCTCCCAAAGTGCTGGGATTACAGGCTTGAGCCACCGCGCCCAGCGCAATTTTGTAGTCTTAGTAGAGATGGGACTTCACCATGTTGGTCAGGCTGGGCTTGAGCTCCTGACCTCAGGTGATCTGCATGAGCCACCACGCCCGGCCCCTCTTTTCTTCCTTCCCTCCCTCTGTCCCTTTTCCCTCCCTCCCTTCTTCTTTCCTTCCTCCCTTTTTTTCCCTCTTTCCCTCCCTCCCTCCCTCCCTCCTTCCTTCCTTCCCCCTCCTTCCCTTTTTCCTTTCCCCCTTTCCCATCCCTCCCTCCCTCCCTCCCTCCTGTCCTGTCCCTCTTGTTCATTCTTCCAACCAGCAAATCACGATGCCATCACTCATAGGCTCCAGAAACAGGAAATGGGTGGGAGGGCAGATGGGAGCAGGATCTAGAGAGCTGCCACTGAGGACAAGAGTAATTCCTTCTTGGGTTAACCGGGAGGTGGGGAATAGCAGCTTTTGCTTCCTTGAGGAGTCTGGGAGAGGCTTTCCCAACTGCCCTCTCCAGCCCCATCACCAATGAAGACCACGAGGGCCATCGTGGCTGCATTTAGTTTCCAACCTTCTGCCTCCGGACTTACATTCTTGACCGTTACATTGAGCACCATGTCCTAGCTGTTATATTGATCACTGTCTTCCAGGTGTCTGCTGGCCCAAGTTTCCTGCGCAGTAGCAGTGAGAGGGCATGCAGCAGGAGTCTGCCTCCTCTACGGCGTTGCTGGAACATTCACTCATTCATTGAGCCATCGCCTGCTTCTAGAGCACCTACACATTCAAGCCACTGGCATCACAGTGAAGACAAAGCACTAGATGTAGAATGAGCAAGGCCTGGCTCTGTGACACACAAACCGTGTGGCCCTGGGTAAGTTGCCCACGCTCTGTGCCTCAGTTTCCTTTTCTGTCAAGTCAGAGTGATAACAGCACCTACTTCACTGGTTATTATGGGGATTGGATGAGCTAATGCATGAACCACACTTTGTATCGCGCCTGCTAGACAAGGCACTATTTTGTTTTAGGCCCATGACTTGCTAGCTGTAGTGGAGATTGCCTGTTACCTACCGAGCATCCAGATCTCACTTCTTCCTTCCTAACAGAATTCTAGGTTTGTTCAGGTAGCCCATTCCCAGCTCCAGTAGTAGATTATTCTTAGTCTAAGCCAATCGTTTTCAAAGTGTGGTCCCAAGACTAGCAGCATTGATATTGCATGGGGACTTGTCAGAAATGCTATAGTTGGGCCAGGCACGGTGGCTCACTCCTGTAATCCCAGCATTTTGGGAGGGCAAGGTGCGTGGATCACAAGGTCAGGAGTTCAAGACCAGCCTAGCCAAGATGGTGAAATCTGGTCTCTACTAAAAATACAAAAATGAGCTGGGCATGGTGGTGCATGCCTGTAATCCCAGCTGCTCAGGAGGCTGAGGCAGAGAATTGCTTAAACCCAAGAGGTGGAAGTTGCAGTGAGCCAAGATCACGCCACTGTACTCCAGCCTGGGCAACAGAGTCAGACTCACTCTCAAAAAAAAAAAAAAAAAAAAAAAAAGTTACACTTGGAGTTTCAGTTTACACGTGTCCTGTGCCTACCACATGCCTGCTATTGTACAAAGTGATTACACAGTGGCTCACATCTGTAACCCCAGCACTTTGGAAGGCTGAGGTGGGAGGACTGCTTGAGGCCAGGAGTTTGAGACCAGCCTGGGCAACATAGTGAGACCCTGTCTCTCTATAAATATAAAAATTAAAAGACAGTTAGCTGGGCATGGTGGGACAAGTCTTGTCCCAGCTACTTGGGAGGCTGAGGTGAGAGGATTGCTTGAGTCCAGGAGGTCAAGGCTGCAGTGAGCTACAATTGCACCTCTGCGCTCCAGCCTGGGCAACAGAGCAAGATCTTGTCTCAAAAAGCAAAAACAAAAAACCCCAAAAGAAGCAGTGATTTACACCTCAATTAACCCTAATTCACCTCTATTTACCCTCCAGTACAGGTTCTGTTATTTTCTTCTTTATACATATTAGGAAATGGACGATCAGAGAGGTCAATTTGGCCGGGTGCTGTGGCTCATGCCTGTAATCCCAGCACTTTGGGAGGCCATGGTGGCTGGGTCACTTGAGGTCAGGAGTTTGAGACCAGCCTAGCCGACACGGTGAAACCCCGTCTCTACTAAAAACACAAAAATTAGCCGAGTGTGGTGGCAAGTGCCTATAATCCCAGCTACTTAGGTGGCTGAGGCAGGAGAATCACTTGAGCCCAGGAGACAGAGGTTTCAGTGAGCCGAGACTGCACGATTACACTCCATCCTGGATGACAGAGCAAGACTCTGTCTAAAAAAATAAATAAATAAAAAGTCAATTTGCTCGCTCAAGGTCATACAGCCAGAAGTGGCAAAATTGAGACTGAACCCAGGTCCACCTGACTTCAAGGCCCTGAGCTGTAAGGTCTCTCTTCCTTCTTGTTTGCAAAACCATTTCGTATCATGTCTGGGCTCCCCCAAAAGCTGGCTCAAAGATAAGGACCCTAGCACAGGTAGTTATTTGAGCAGTGATTCCAGTAGGGGAGTGGAGAAGTGGGACAGGGAAGGGAAGGCAGATCATTCAGGGCGTCTTCGTGAACAGGTTCCCACAGCAGACACTGGAGCCCAGTCCTGCTGGGATGGAGAAATGGCTCTCTGGGTGCAGTGAGTGGCTCATATCTGTAATCCTAGTATTGTGGGCGGCCAAGGCAGGAGGATCGCTTGAGGCCAGGAATTTGAGACCAGCCTGGGCAACATGGTGAAACCCCATTTCTACAAAAAAATACAAAAATTAGCTGAGCGTATTGGGACATGCTTGTAGTCCCAGCTGCCTGGGGGGCTAAGGGGAGGATTGCCTGAGCCTCAGAGGTTGAGGCTACTGTGAGCTGAGACTGTGCCACTGCACCCCAGCAAGACCCTGTCTCAAACAAACAAAAAATTTGAGAAATGGCTGTCTTTAGGGCAAGAGAATCAATGGCTTTATCTACTATCTCTTGACTGCCCCAGCCAATGAGGATATGGTTCCTGTCCTGGAGATATGAATAGGCACCGATTGTCTAGATTCCAAAATGTATATGGTTGGACCCGACTAGGAATGCTTTGAAGAGTCCACAGCAGCCTTACAACAACGTCTTCTCACAGTACTTTAACGTAATCCTCATTAGGCTTCCCAATTGCTAACGCAAAACAGGTTTGCTACTTGTCCATACCATCACCAAGTGACCCCCAAGGACATGCGTTTAGAAGAGGTTGCCTTACTGTTTTCCTGCCGTACTGATCTGAGATATTTCCCCAGAGCGTGGAGCTGGACATCATGCCTACAAAGACCACCTGTGGGGGAAAGACAGTTTTCATTAGACAGAGGACTTGGAGCACTGCACAGAAAGGAACAACAAATGTAAGCAGTGATGTCACACTCGAGGTAACAGCCATGATCTAACATTCACTGAGCACCTGCCAAGGTCAAACACTATTCTAAGTGCTTCTGGCAAGCTGCCCAACAATCCCATTGGGAGGGTGCTATTATTATTCCTGTTTGACAGATGAGGGAACTGAGACTCAGAGAGAGGCAAAGGCGCAACCAGTGTCACACAGGTGTTAAGTGGTGCAGCCGGCACTGGAATCAGGCATTCTGGCCCCGGAGCTAGCTTTTGACCAGTTTCTCACCTTCCCAAAGAAACACTTGCCCTACTGCTGAGAAAATACCAAGGGCTGCAAGGTGGAGTTTGGAGAGTAGGAAAATCAGACACAGGGAGGCTGGGCTGGGAGCTGTAAACTATTAGTAAGAGAAACCACTCATTATGTGGGAGGCAAAGCAATTGTTACATTGTTAATCCTTGGAGTAGCAGCTGGTGAGGCTTGAATGATCCTACCCATTTGACAGAATGGGGAACTGAGGCTCAGATAGGTTAAGAAACCGGCTCGCCTCCCTGAAAGGAGAAGGTAGAGACAAGTCTTAAACCAGAGCAGGCAGACTGGCGCCTCATCACCACGCTCTTCCCTCTGCAAGTGCCAGACACCATGCTGAAGGCTTTATGCACACATCTTACCACAGCCTTGCAGGAGCCCTACAAGGGGGGTGCTTCTATTATCCCCATTTCACAGATAAGGCAGCTGAGGGCCAGAGAGGGGAGGGCACAGCCTCAGTTTGGTCTGACCCCAAAAGCATTTCTTGTGGCATGTCTGAGGGTGAGAAGTGGGGATGGTATACAGAAGTGTTTCAAGGTAGAAGCAGACACAGATTATGTACGTATAATTTTTTTTTATTTGTTTGTTTAGATGGGATCTTGCTCTGTCACCCAGGCTGAAGTGCAGTGGTGTGGTTGCGATTCATTGCAGCCTCAACCTCCTGGGCTCAAGTGATCTTCCCACCTCAGCCTCCCGAGTAGGTAAGACAGCTGTGCACCACCAGGCCTGGTTAATTTTATTTATCTATTTATTTATTTATTTATTTATTTATTTATTTATTTATTTATTTATTTGAGACAGGATCTCACTTTGTTGTCCAGGTTGGTCTTGAACTCCTGGCTCCAAATGATCCTCCCACTTCAGCCTCCCAAGGTGCTGGGGTTACAAGCAAGAGCCACTGCATCTGGTCCCGAATGGATCATTTTAAGGGAATTCATTTCCAAGTTTTCAGCTTCCCTGCAGACTCTTTTTCAAGAACGAGTTAGGGGTCTTCTCCATTTCCTGCCTGACTCCCTCTTTCTCAGCCACCCCTCCACCATGCCTCTCTAGGCCAGTCTGACCAGGGCACCTCAAAGGGCATTGCTTTTCAATGGAAACCCTTCAGGGTACCTCCGAAGGGGAGCCAATGATGCCCTGACAAATCCTTCTGCAAGTCATCTGGTTTCCGATACCTTTCTTATTACTTTCAACAGAATCGAAGGACAGTCTAATCAAGCTGTAGGCAAGTTAGATCACAGAACATAGTTTTTCAGAAATGAAAGCCGCGTGCTCTTTGGCACACACATTTTGGAAAGTGTTTTTAAAAATCAAGTGGCATCAGTTTGCTGGGTTCTAGCGAATCCGTCAGTTCCTCAAAACTTTTTTTCGTGTGAACACAGCTTTTCATATGCATATTCATTCAGGAGAAATGACAAATAGGAACATAACTGGTGCTGAACCCTGTCTCACTTTAGCAATAATCATTCAGGAATACATAAAATATTTGGGAAACATTCCACACTATTCATTAAGGGATACATTTCTGATAAAAGCTTGCTTATGTTTAACAATTATTTACCAAAATTAATTATATCTTGTTGTTATGGTCTATTGCATACTACTAAAAATTATAATAAGTCAATGCAGGAGAAAACCTTTAGTGCTTAGAGCCTTCTCAGAGAATTAAAACTAATAATTTAACACTTATTTATTCTGTCACAGAGAATTGTAATAGGATAATGAATGTGATCCTTTCAAACAAGAAAACATTACATTAGGCCAGCTTGACCAACATGGTAAGACTCTGTCTCTACTAAAAGTACAAAAATTAGCTGAGTGTGATGGCATGTGCCTTTGGCCCCAGCTGCTCAGGAGGCTGGGGTGGGAGGATCACTTGAATTTAGGAGGCAAAGGTTGCAGTGATACAAGATCACACCACTATACTCCAGCCTGGGCAACACAGCAAGACCCTATTTCAAAAAAAGAAAAGAAAACATTAAGATAAAATTATATGGAGAAATGAATGGAAATATCAATTCCAAGAAAACAGGTGTGCAAATTTTCCAAATTCCTCTAAAGAGCTTGTTCATCTAATTTTAAAGCAAATGATGGTAGATGTCAGGTAAGTATTTCAATTTCATTAGACACATTTTTTTAAAATGATATAGTCATTTTATTTTTATTTTTATATTTCAGTACATTCCCAATGGTATCATCTGCAACCTACAATTTAAAAAATTTCATGTCAATGTAAAAACGTGTGACAGTCCTGGATTCTACAAGGTTTGTTTTTAATTCTTTTCTAGATCAACCTAGAACAAAGATGTTTGAAGATTACTGTCTTGGGATAAAGTGTTGCCTTAGTCATGTGCTAAGTGATATTCTTACATCTCGAAAGAGGTAAGTATCCCTCAAAACACCCATTTTTCCCAAAAGGAGAGATTCTGGCACAGCCTAGTACTGGTTGTATATTACAGTAATTACGGTAATCTTGCATTGTATTTCCTTATATCACAGTAGTTATGGTCATCTTACACAGTATTTTGAGTGGCAACAATGTGCATTTGTAATATCCTCCTTGGGTACTTCATGCCTTTGGAGCAACTCCTGCAGGACTCTTAACTTTTCCATAGAAAATTCGCCATGAGACTTAACAGGTCTAAACCTCATAACACAAGAAAGTAGCCTGAGGCAGGGGCTCTGAGCCCGCCAGGCCTGGCTTTCAATTCTGCCTCTGCCTCTTACAGGCTGTCTGAGCTTTGGGCAAGTCAATGTCTCTCTCTAAGCCTCAGTTACTTTATCTGTAGAAGTGACAGTAATAAAACACCTCTTTCATAGGCTTGAGAAGGCTAAAGAGATAATGTATGCAAAACCATTAGCCTGGCCCAAAATAAGTGCTCAGTAAATTGTGGTTGTTATAATCCAATGGCAAGAGACCAGAAAGGCCCTGCATTGCAAAAACACAAACCAGCAGTTATTATTATTAACATCATTATTACTGTTATTATTTTGAGACGGAGTCTCACTCTGTCACCCAGGCTGGAATGTAGTGGCGAGATCTCAGCTCACTGCAACCTCCACCTCCCAGGTTGAAGCAATTCTCCTGCCTCAGCCTCCCAAGTAGCTGGGATTATAGGCACACACCACCACACCCATCTAATTTTTGTATTTTTGGTAGAGACAGGGTTTCACCATGTTGGCCAGGCTAGTCTTGAGCTCCTGGCCTTAAGTTATCTGCCCACTTTAGCCTCCCAAAGTGCTGGGATTACAGGCATGAGCCACTGCACCCAGCCTGCAGTTACTCTTTAGGAGGTATTGGTGAGAAGGAGGAATATAAGAAAGAAGTATCATGGACTCAGCCCCTGGTGCGTGCTAGGTGCTGTGTGTATTTTGTTACCCCACTGCAGAAAAACAGGCATTGTCAACCCATTTTGCAGGCCACAAAATATGGCCATCAAGCACCTCACTCAAGGTCACAATTCTGGAGCTGACTAAACAACAAAAACACAGGTGTCTGTGCCATGAAGTGCTTCCCACTGAGCTGCGTGACCTTATTGCCAATATCAGACTAGGTCATGCTGTGTGGAAGGCACTCAGGCCATTCCAGAACAGTTATCTATAAAAAAGCAGCATTCTGGGAGGCATCCTGAATTGGCAGTGACTCCATTACTGGCTAGGTCTGTGATCTTGAGCAAGTGATTAACCTCTTTTTGTGCCTCATTTTGCTCAACTAATCATAGTGCCTAGCTCATAGGTCTGTGAGGATTAAAGAGCACGTGTAAGTTATGCATATATTGTATGCAGTGCAGTAAAGGCCTTTGCACAGTAAGTGCTCCACTAAGTATTAGTGATTAGCTTTTGTGATTATCCTTGTTATCCTCTTATCCAGCCTGGCCATTCCTCTCTCTCTCTGTTTTCTTTCTTTTTCTTTTTTTTTCAATTTGAGATGGAGTCTCGTTCTGTTACCCAGGCTGAAGTGTAATGGCACGATCTCAGCTCACTGCAACCTCTACTTTCCAGGTTCAATCAATGCTCCTGTCTCAGCCTCCTGAGTAGCTGGGATTACAGGTGCCACCATGCCCGGTTAATTTTTGTATTTTTAGTAGAGATGGGGTTTCACCCTATTGGTCAGAATGATCTCAAACTCCTGACCTCAGGTGATCCACCCGCCTTGACTATAGGCATGAGCCATTGCACCTGGCCCATTCCTCTCTCTTTTAAGAGGTTGCTGCTTATCTGTTCCAGACAAAAAGTAAGAGTTCTGCAGCCTCCTCCTTCAAGCCTTAATTCCAAGGAGCAATAACTCCAATTTATTGAACACCTACTATATGCCAGGCACTGTGTTGTTTCCAGTCCTCAAATCATCCTAGGGGTGTGGGGATTGGCATGTCCTGTTTGCAGTCAAGAAAACAGGCTTATAAAGTTTAAGTGATATGCACAGGTGGGTTTCAAGCTCCTCACGATGGAACAGGATGTCCGGGACACCCTCTGGGTGGAGTAGAGTTGGCTATAAACCTGCTAAGATACGTGAGGTGGGGGGAGGACAGTGCTTCCATCAGGGCTTAATTCTTTTCTGCTGAGCCTTCGGCAGTGGAAGAAGGAAGATATCCCACAGGACACCCCAGGGGAGCAGAACTGTATGCAACAGGAGGGAGCTGCTGGGCTGCCTACCGAGGTCAGCAGGGCCACCTGCCAGCTTGGGAGCCTCCACTCGCAATGCAGCTGTGGCGCCAGGATGCTGAGGATCATCATCTCCATGGCATCAGCCATCTGCAGAGAGGACGGAGACACCATGAGGCCAGGACGCTGCTTGGTGCCAGGGAAGGCTGGCCAAGTCCATAACCCCAGAGGCAGAGACAGAGCATACCCCTCTCTACCCACTGCAAGTGCCCTGCCGCACATCAAACCACACTTAAAGCTCCAGCAGTTAAAACTGCATCACCATTGCAGGAATGGACAGATAGACATTTTATATTATTTTTGTGGGTGTTTTCTGTGTTATAAAAAATATGAGCACCCCACAAACAAAGTGGGAAAACATATTCCTAAAATCTGAGGGAAAAAAACATTTTCATAAAGGCAGAGAGACAATGATATTTTTAGTGCAATTAAAGACTAGCTTGTCTTTGGCTTATAGGTAATTTGTTCATGTAGAATAGAATATAATTATCAGTGTAGTTAACAAGTGTGACCTTTTAATACATTAAAGCAAACTCGGAAGCCCTAGCAATTAAACATCATGTGCCTTTACGAAACTAGACAGACTAGGACGGACGTGGAACCTAGAAGCACAGCCCATGTGGCCATGGGAATTTTGCATACGATAAAGGCAGCTTTTCCAATTAGTGGGAGAAATGTGGGGAAATTGATGATCCATTTGGAAAAATATGTAGTTAGATTGCCATCTCCTGCCATTCACAAAAATTAATTTCAAGTATATTAAAGGTTTGGCTGCGCTGTTTGCCGTAACTAGGGGATTTGAATGAGGGATGCTGAGAGTCTTGAAGCAGAAGGAACATTTTTAACCTGTGCATGTTTTTCTACGGAGAGATCCACAGCTGACACCTTAATCTCACAGTAGCCCTGAGCCCAAAGAGTTAAAAGCCACTTAATTAGCTAGAAACTTCAGTTCCTCCTTGAGGGCAACGGCCAACCACATCCAGCTCTCTTCAAGCATACACCTCGTTATCACCATTTCTCACTCCACACAAATTTTGTTGATTGGAATTCAATCAAAGTCTCCATGTGCAAAGAACTGTGTCCTTCCTTACAGACCATGGAAACCCAGTGGAACAGCATGGGGGTTTCTTGGAGACTGAGCCACTGCCCCCCAGAAATACTTGCCCAAGCCAAGCCGGTGAGAACAGACAGCTTCCACTGAAATTTTCCAAAGCCAATGGCTTCCACCGCATCTTCCACCATGAAAGTATCTGGGAAGGAGAAAGGGAGAGGGGAGGAAGGAATCAGTGTGCCTTCCAGCTGTCCTCGAGTGGGGTTGCCTGGGGTGGTCCCCAGCCAAGCAAATTAAAGGCACTACATGCTGCTTTTAGAACTTATCCTAGAACAATATTCCGGTGTGAAGCGATATCCTACAACTGCAGCATTGCTTATAGCAGGAGAAACTGAAAAACCCAGAACGTCCGTCAACAGGGGGTTGGTTAAATAAATTATTAAGCAGATATTATACATATATAAATTATTAAATATCTACATTATGAAATATGACTCAAATGTTAATAGGAATGTTCAGATATAGAAAGATACACAAAGTATATTTTTAACTAATGTTTGAAAACAAAACAAGATCGACAACAAAGTACTGAGCATGGTTCTATTCTTGGAAATGTATGCATGTGGGCATAAATATATGCACATGTGTCTATGCATAGAATATATACAAGGCTTTGAATTATGGTTTAATTTGTTTGTTGTCAGAGGGGGAAAGGAAAAAATTATATGAGAATTCACTTTCTTCCTTTTACAATTTTATTTTTTCCATGGCCAGAAAAAAAGAAATACTTTTTTGTTTGTTTTGCTTTTTTTTGAGACAGGGTCTTGCTCTGCGGCCCAGGCTGGAGTGCGGTGGTGCAATCAGAGCTCACTGCAGCCTCTATCTCCTGGGCCCAAGTCATTCTCCTGCCTCAGCCTCTTACTCAAGAGGCTACTCAGCTGGGACTACAGGCACATGCTGCCATGCCCAGCTAATTTTTTCTATTTTTTGTAGAGATGAGGGCTCACTATGTTGCCCAGGGTAGTCTTTAACTCTTGAGCTCAAGCTATCTTCCCGCCTCGGCCTCCCAAAGTGTCAGGATTACCGATGTGAGCTGCCACGCCTGGCCTGAAATACTTTTGAAAGGCACAATTCCATCGGCACTCAGATGGAAAGATGTGAACGCTTTATTCTTAAGTGAAAAGCTAAGGTTGTGGAGAGGTACGTACTGCAGGAGTTTTCTTTGTGATAAAATGTGTATATGTGTGTGTGTGAGTGCACCAAGCAGGGGTGGACATCTTACAAACTGTTACCAGACTCGTCTTTGAAAACAATACTCACTTTCCTACTTTGGCTATTTCTTTAATGTCTGAATGCTTTCCAAATAAACAGGTGTTATTTTCATGCTCAGAAAAAACATAGTTATCATTTATAAGCTAATAAGTTTTTGAAACATACTAAAAGATGGCCAGGTGCTGTGGCTTATGCCTGTAATCCCAGCACTTTGGGAGGCTGAGGCAGGAGGATCACTTGAGCCCTGGAGTTCAAGAGCAGCCTGGGCAGCATAGTGAGACTAAAAATTAAAAAAAAAAAATTAGCAGTGAGTGGTGGCTCATATCTATGGTCCTAGCTACCTGGGAGGCTTCAGCCAGGGAGGTTTCAAAGTTGCAGTGAGCTGTTATCACACCACTGCACTCTAGCCTGGGTGACAGAGCAAGATTCTGTTAAAAAAAAAAAAATCCAAAAAAGCAAAACTAAACTAAACTGCAACACCAACACTGAACCCAACGTGCCGTGCTGGATTGTATCTGGAAACAGCACAACCACAATGACTGGTGAAATCTACGTAAAGTCTGGAGTTGAGCTAATAGTAGCACACCAACGTTAATTTTTTTTAGTGTTGACAATATTTTTTTTAGCTGTTAACATTAGGGGCGGCTGGGTGAAGGGTATGTGAGAACTGTCTGTACTATATCTGAAATTTTTTTTTTGCAAAGCCATAATAATTTAAAAATGAACAGTTAATTAAAAATACAGCTGGGTGCAGTAGCTCACACCTGAAATCCCAGCCCTTTGGGAGGCTGAGGCAAGTGGATCACCTGAGGCCAGGAATTTGAGACCATTCTGGCCAACATGGCGAAACCCTGTCTTTACTAGGGGTTTCCATCCTCACTCAGATGGAATGATGTGTTTTGCATTTCTACTAGAAATACAAAAATTAGCCCGGTGTGGTGGTACATGCCTATGGTCCCAGCCACTCAGGAGGCTGAGATAGGAGAATCGCTTGAACCCGGGAGGCAGAGGTTGCAGTGAGCCAAGACTGCACCACTGCACTCCAGCCTGGGTGACAGAGTGAGTCTCCATCTGAAAAAAATAAAAATACGAAAGGAGGATGCTGGGTTGCCCCATGAGCGACCTCCGAGGATCTCATCAGCCCCTGCTGGGAGTTGTTAACTTTTTGGAATTTCAACCATGGGCCTTGTATGTCAATAATAATTTTCTCCAGATGTGTGAGTTGGTGTTGATCACATTAGCAGGCTGTGGTTTTCTCCAGAAAAAAAAAAAAAAAGTCATCCATAGGAAGAACAGTAGTAACACTATTGTGGGGCACTTACTGAGTGCTTACTGTCTGCCAGGCACTGTGCCAAAAGCTAGATGTGCATTATTTCATTTAATAACCATCACAACCCTATGAGTTAAGGCCTAGAATCAGCCCCATTTTACAGAGGAGGACATGGGCTTGCCCTGTGTCACACAGGTGGCACGTTGTAGAGTTGGGAGTCAGGCCCAGATCAGCCTCAGAGTAAAGCCTCAGCTTGCCTCTGTCCCCCGTCATTGCCACCTTATCTTTGCCAACAACAGGCCTGGGGTTCAAATCATTAGACATTTCTTAGATTTGGAATCTGAGTCTTTACAGGAATTCATAGAATGTTTTTATCCAACAGCATTAAGAAGTGAGGGAAGTTGGAGAACAGGTCCCACAGCACTGCCTCAGAGGTAGCACAAGGTCATGGGTAAGAATGTGGGCTCTGAGGCCAGATTTCCTGGGTATAAATCCAAATTGGCTAATTCCTAGCTGTATAACCTTCAGCAAGATACTTAACCCTTCTGTGCTTCAGTTTCCTCACCTGCAAAATGGGGAAGATGTTGGTAATAGTTCCAATTGGAACTGTTGTGAGGATTAAATGGATAAAACATGTAAACTGGTTAGAGCAGTGCCTGGCACAGAGTAAATGCTCAGCCAATGTTAGCTGCTCGCATACCATCATCAGTGTCACCATTAGCATCACACTATCATCATAATCAACATCATCACCACCATTGTCATTACACTGTCATCCTAACCATCATCACTATCACCATCATCATTACCACAATCATCATCACCACCATCATCACCACAACCATCATCATCATCACCACCATCATCTTCATCACCATTATCATCATCTTCAGCAACACAACCACCATCATCATCATTATCTTCATCATCAACACCATCATCACTACCATCACCACCAGCACCATCTTTATCATCATCACCATCATCATCTTCATCATCACCATCATCATCGCCACCACTATCATCACCATCATCATCATGTTCATCATCACCACCATCATCTTCATCATTTTCATCAACACCATCACTACCATCATTATCACCACCACCATCATTACCACCACCACCACCATCATCATCACTACCATCACCACCACCGTCATCATCACCACCATCATCTTCATCACCATCATCATCTTCATCACCACCATCATCTTCATCATTTTCATCAACACCATCACCACCATCATCATCAACACCACCACCATCATCACCATCATCATTGCCACCACCATCATCTTCATCATCACGATTATCAACTTCAGCAGCACAACCACCATCATCATCATTACCTTCATCAACACCATCATCACTACCATCCCATCACCACCACCATCATCTTCATCATTGCCACTATCATCTTCATCATCACCATCATCACTACCATCATCATCACCACCACCATCATCTTCATCATCATCACCACTATCATCATCATCACCATCACCACTGTCATCTTCATCATCAACACCATCATCACTACCATCATCACCACCACCATCTTCATCAACACCATCATCATCATCTTCATCATCACCACCACCAACTTCATCATCAACACCATCATCATCTTTGCCAACAACACCATCATCACTACCATCATCATCACCACCATCATCTTCATCAACACCATCATCACCACCATCATCATCTTCATCACCACCAGCATCACTAGCATCATCATCACCACCATCATCATCACCATCATCAGCACCACCATCATTACTATCATCTCATCATCACCATCTTCATCATCACTGTCATCACCATCTTCATTGTCATCACTATCATCACCATCACCATTGCCATCCTTATTATCACCATCTTCATCACTATGATCATCACCATCATCACTATCACCACCATCATCATCATCACCATCATCATCACCACCACAATCATCACCATCATCTCATCATCACCACCTTCATCATCATCACTATCACCATCACCATTGCCATCCTTATCATCACCATCTTCATCACTGTGATCATCACCATCTTCATCACTGTGATCATCACCATCATCATCATTACTATCATGATCACCACCACCGTCATCATCACCATCACCATCTTTGTCATCATCGTCATTGTTAGTGCCATTCTCAGCCAAGTGTTATGCAGTGATGCTGACTTGCAGGGATTGTGATGTAACCTTGCCAGCTGAAGTAAGCCCTGGAGGCTCAACCCCCACTTCCAGCTTCACCCCTTGGCCCTCTGGGCCCTCCCAACTGCCCCTTCACAAGACCCCTCTGAAACTGCCTGCTGGGGGCAACCTTGACTGTGGCCCAGGCCGATTCCCCACTGCAGGGCCCTCTCACCATCGGTGGGATTGGCAAACTCCTTGGGCACAGCTGCCCCATCATCCAGCTCCACAGCCTCTAGGCCCACGCGGACCCCTTCAATCTGGACTTCATGCTCTCCTGAAGCCGTGTCGTCCTCTGACCTTGCACTCTCGCCTGTGCGACGGAATTTCACAACCCTAGAGAACAGAGCAAATCTGGTCAAGATGGCTAAAGCTTCCCCTAGATGGCCTTACTGGACAGCGCTAGTGCCCAAGACAGGTGAAAGACTTCTTCTCATGGTTTGGAGAGTTAATGGATGAGGGTTCGCATTTCTATTGAGTTGGACTGGGGTTGGGAAGACTAATAACTTCAAGAGTTACAGTATCAGGACTGCCATGTACAGTTGGGCAGATTGGGCACTGCACAATTCCTGGGTTTCCTATTCACATAGTAGGTTATGTGAGTGAGGATATCTTTGTATTAAGTCAGAATACTGTTTGTAAGTACATTTGTTTCAGAATTTAGACTTATCTGTCTATATCTAACATTTTGGTCATCTAAAGGTCACATTAGGCCCACAAAAACTTTCTCACATCATATTTTCAAAAGGTTAAAGTGGATACCATTTTTTAAAATAGAGACGGGCTCTCACTATGTTGCCCAGGCTGGTCTCAAACTCCTGGGCTCAAGTGATCCTCCCTCAGCCTTTTAAAGTGCTGGAATTACAGGTGTGAGCCACCGTGCCTGGTGCCAAAATGTTTGAATAAGGAAAATTCACATAAAAAGCCAGAATCCCAATGTCTCTTGCAAAAGTAGAATACCTGGCCGTCTGGAGCCCACATTCCTGCATTGGACTTGTGCTAGGTCTGGGCAGTGGTGACCCCAGCCCCCCACCAACCCCTGTTTTAGATGGGTCATGCCCTCCACAGCTGGCCACTGTCTCCTCTTCTCTGGATTATCTCCAGCCCTAAGGGTCTTTTGCTCTTCTCCTTGCACATGCTCTGTGTTGCTCTCACTTGGCATGTGGTCCCGTTTGCCAGGCCCTGCAGGCATTTGAGTTTGAGACCCACGGGCCCCACTCTTATGCAGTATGTTCCTGCAAACTATGCTGTTTCTTGCTGCTCTGGAAGAAGCTTTGATTTCTCTGGGCAACAGTTTCTTCATCTGGGACTCAGGGACAAAATTACCTGTCTCCTTCCAACTTTCTCACTCCCAAACACAAAACTCGTGCTGTCTGCCAGCTTTGGGATGGGTTTTGGGGTTATAGCACTGAAATTGCCTGCTGGGAAGGCAACCTTGACCATGGCCCAGGCTGATTCTCCAACTGCAGGACCCTCTCACCATCAATGGGGTTGGCAAACTCCTTGGGCACATCTGCCCCATCATCCAGCTCCACAGCCTCTAGGGCCATGCAGGCCCCTTCAGTCTGGACTTCTTGCTCTCCTGAAGCCGTGTCTGACCTTGCAGATGTGCTCTGACCTCACAATCTCTCAAGGGGATAGTGATACCGATGTGCAAGTCCTTTCTATCACGGCTTTGAGTCCTTACAGACTTTTTGAAGAAAGTCCAGGGTGCTGGGTGTGGTGGCTCATGCCTGTAATCCCAGCATTTTGGGAGGCCAAGGTGGGAGGATTGCTTGAGCACAGGAATTCAAGACCAGCCTGGGCAGCATAGTGAGATACTGTATCTTTGAAAAATTAAAAAAAAAAAAAAAACATTAGCTGGGCATGGTAGTGGATGCCTGTGGTCCCAACTACTTGGGAGGCTGAGGTGGGAGGATCGCTTGAGCACAGAAGGTTGAGGCTGCAGTGAGCCATGATCCCACTACTGCACTCCAGCCTGGGCAACAGAGAGAGACCCTACCAGAAAAATAAAAAGAAAGAAAAGAAAAAATAGAAAGAGTGAGAGAAAGAGAGAGAGAAGGAAGAAAGAAAAAAGAGGGAAAGAAGGAAAGAGAGGGAAGGAGGGAGGGAGGGAGAGAGGAAAAAGAAAAAGACAAAAGTCTGACTGGGCATGGTCACTCATGCCTATAATCCCCATATTTTGGGAGGCTGAAGTAAAAGGTTCACTTGAGTCCAGGAGTTCAAGAGAAGCCTGGGTGATGTGGCAAAACCCCATCTCTACAAAAAAATACAAAAATTAGCCAGGCATGGTGGCGTGTGCCTGTGGTCCCGGCTACTTGGGAGGCTGAGGTGGGAGGATTGCTTGAGCCGGGAGGTGGAGGTTGCAGTGAGCCAAGATTGCACCACAGCACACCAGCCTGGGTGACAGAGCAAGATCCTGGGTTATTTTGTTTCTTTGTTAAAGAAAAAGAAAGAAAGAGAAAAAAGTCTGGAGTTACATGGACATGAATAGCAGAGGTAGTATTTGAGCAGATAGACTGCACATTTGATCCATGTTTTTAAAAGGTTAAAAACAAAAGAAATATTTAAGTACAAAGTACTGCTATTATTATTAATGACTGCCTCATTCCATGTATTTCACCAAAGAAATAACTGTGGCACTGGCATAGAAAGGGTCAATCTCTGGATTTCAGAAGTGCAGGGAACATAACCAGCTTGTCAAGTTCTAGAAGAGGAAAGACAGATTAAATCACAACCATTTTGTAAACACCTGAAATTCCATTCCTTGGCAAGGCTGGGCTTGGAAAACCTGAGCTGTCAAGCTCATCTTGGCTGGAAATGCAGGCCCCAGCACAGGGTTGGCAGACAGACGGGAGGGTTTGAAGCTCAGTGCTAACATTTCACCCCATCTACCACGGTCACGCTCTAATAGCATCAAGTCTGTGCTCTGTGCAAGTTCCCGCTGTTTTCTGTGCACTCGATCCGCACAGCACCTCTGAAATTGGTATTATTATCACCGTTTTACAGACAAGAACACTGAGACCCCAGAAGTCACATGGCTTACCCACAGCCCCATAGCTGAACAGGCATGGAGCCAGGATTGAACCCCAGGTCTGTCTGGCTTAAAACCTTGTATTTCTGGCCAATGAGAGGGCACCACCTCTTCAAACTCTTCCATTCCTTCCCCTTCACTCTATTTTTTTTCATAAAGATATTTTATTTTGAGACATTTCGAGCATATAAAATCACATACATAACAATGAGAGAAATGTCTTTGTTTCTGCTGTCTAACCAAAGGATTAAACACAGCTATTAGGTTGAACCACGGGAAATCACCAACATTCATCCCCAAATCAGCTGAAGCCACCATGTCTCCATCGCCACATCACCACATATTCACAGGTGTTTCACATTTTAAAATGTCACAAAGTTCAAATAGATATGAGTCCACTTACATGAAGTATTGAGAATTCATAGAAACAGAAAACAGATGAGTGGCTGCCAGGGAATGGGGATTCATAGCTTAATGGGCGTGGGGTCTCCTTTTGGGGTGATGAAAATGCTCTGGGACTAGAAAGAGGTGAGGGTTGTACAACCTTGTAAAATTGCACACTTTCGTTGACGGCTAAAATGGGAAAAAATAAAAAATAAATAAAATGGTTAAAATAGAGCCAGGCATGGTGGCGGGGGTGGGGTGGTGCACATGTCTGTAATCCTAGCTACAGGGATACGCTAAAGCAAGAGAACTGCTTGAGGCCAGGACTTCAAGACCAGCTGGGGTAACCCAGCGACACTCCATCTTTTATTTTTTGATACGGAGTCTCACTCCATCACCCAGGCTCACCACAACCTCCACTTCTCGGGTTCAAGAGATTCTCCTGCCTCAGCCTCTGGAGTAGCTGGGCTTACAAGCAGGCACCACCACGTCCGGCTAATTTTTATACTTTTAGTAGAGACAGGGTTCACCATGTTGGCCAGGCTGGTCTTGAACTCCTGACCTCAGGCGATCCACCTGCCTCGGCTTCCCAAAGTGTGAGGATTACAGGTGTGAGCCACAGTGCCTGGCCACAAGACCCCATCTCTAAGGGGAAAAAAAAGGTTAAAATGGTAAAGTTTACGTTATGTGTATTCTTCCACCTTAACAAATAAAACACGAAAATCCTTAACTCTTAACACTGCCACGGATGTTACTGGAATCCCTTATTCAACAGATATTGAATGAGCACCTGCTTTGTGTCAGGCCCAGTGGCGCTGCTGGGATCACAAAGGTCACCAGACTTCAACGCCTTTCTGCAGTGCTCGTAGTCTACCAGGAGGGGATAAGAATTTTAAAAAGAAAAATAACGAGTATATATGGACATCACTATATAGATGGTTGGCACATTGTAAGACATGCTGCAAATGGCACTGTTTACAATAGCAAAGACCTGGAACCAACCCAAATGCCCAGCAATGACAGACTGGACAGGGAAAATGTGGCACATATACACCACGGAATACTATGCAGCCATAAAAAACAGTGAGTTCATGTCCTTTGTAGGGACATGGATGAATCTGGAAACCATCATTCTCAGCAAACTGACATAAGAACAGAAAATCAAATACCGCATGTTCTCACTCATAGGCGGGTGTTGAACAATGAGAACGCATGGACACAGGGAGGGGAGCATCATATATTGGGGTCTGTTGTGGGGAATAAGGGAGGGGGTAGGGAAGTTGGGGAGGCATAACATGGAGAGAAATGCCAGATATAGGTGATGGGGGATGGAGGCAGCAAACCACATTGCCATGTATGTACCTATGCAACAATTCTGCATGGTCTGCATGTGTACCCCAGAACCTAAAGTGCAATAAAATATGTATTTTTAAAAAAAGACATGCTGCAAATAAAAATAAACTGGGTGATGGGAAAGGCCCATGGTGGGGGTGACATTTCACATCTGGAACCCACTAAGTGAGGTGTGGTGTGAAATGGGCCAGAGAGAAAACTACAAATGAGTAGAACCCGCAGCCCCAAAACAGCAACCCCAAAATTAAAAATGTAAACAGTCCCCTAAGGTATTCACAGAAGATGGACACATAGCAAATTATCTGGGGAGAGAAGGACATGAACGTTTACGTGCACTATCAATTGATCTTTAGGGATGAAGGCAAGGTCAATGGATCAGCACCCTTGACTCTGAGGATATCACAGAAAAAAATCGCTGTGTGGCTTGATCATCATCTTTGAGTACTCCTTTTATCACATCTTCTCCACAGGGACCGTCCACAGCTCCCTACTTCCTTCTGGGACTAACAGTGACCACTGCAACCCTTTAGAAGGTAATTTGTGATATCTTTCACAATGTTTAAAT